CATCTTCCCCTGGAAAAAACATGGGAAAACATGGAAAAATCATGGAAAAATCACCCATGAACTGCTCGTACTGATCCTCATCTTCCCCTGGAAAATGGGAAAAACATGGAAAAATCATGGAAAAATCCATGGGAAAATCCCCCATGAACTGCTCGTACTGATCCTCGTCCTCCCCTGGAAAACATGGAAAAATCCATGGAAAAATCTATGGAAAAATCCCCCAGGAACTGCTCGTACTGATCCTCGTCCTCTCCTGGAAAACAGGGAAAAATCCATGGAAAAATCTATGGAAAAATCACTCAGGAACTGCTCGTACTGATCCTCATCTTCCCCTGGAAAAAACATGGAAAAAACATGGAAAAATCATGGAAAAATCTATGGAAAAATCACTCATGAACTGCTCGTACTGATCCTCATCTTCCCCTGGAAAACAGGGAAAAATCATGGAAAAATCATGGAAAAATCTATGGAAAAATCCATGGAAAAATCCCCCATGAACTGCTCGTACTGATCCTCGTCTTCTCCTGGAAAATGGGAAAACATGGAAAAACATGGAAAAATCCATGGAAAAATCTATGGGAAAATCTATCGAAAAATCCATGGAAAAATCCCTCATGAACTGCTCGTACTGATCCTCGTCTTCTCCTGGAAAAAACATGGGAAAACATGGAAAAAACATGGAAAAATCCATGGAAAAATCCCCCATGAACTGCTCGTACTGATCCTCGTCCTCCCCTGGAAAACGTGGGAAAACATGGAAAAATCCATGGAAAAATCCATGGGAAAATCACTCATGAACTGCTCGTACAGATCCTCGTCCTCTCCTGGAAAACAGGGAAAAACATGGAAAAAACATGGAAAAATCCATGGAAAAATCTATGGGAAAATTCCCCATGAACTGCTCGGACTGATCCTCGTCCTCCCCTGGAAAATGGGAAAAACATGGAAAAAACATGGAAAAATCTATGGAAAAATCCCCCATGAACTGCTCGTACTGATCCTCGTCTTCTCCTGGAAAACAGGGAAAACATGGAAAAATCTATGGGAAAATCCCCCATGAACTGCTCGTACTGATCCTCATCTTCCCCTGGAAAATGGGAAAAACATGGGAAAAACATGGAAAAATCCATGGGAAAATCACTCAGGAACTGCTCGTACTGATCCTCATCTTCTCCTGGAAAAAACATGGAAAAATCATGGGAAAATCCATGGGAAAATCTATGGAAAAATCCCCCATGAACTGCTCGTACTGATCCTCGTCCTCCCCTGGAAAAAACATGGGAAAATCATGGAAAAAACATGGAAAAATCCATGGGAAAATCTATGGAAAAATCGCCCATGAATTGCTCAGACTGATCCTCGTCCTCCCCTGGAAAACAGGGAAAAATCATGGAAAAAACATGGAAAAATCCATGAGAAAAACATGGGAAAATCTATGGGAAAATCCATGGGAAAATCCCCCATGAACTGCTTGTACTGATCCTAATCCACTCCTGGAAAACAAACATGGAAAATCATGGAAAAATCCATGGGAAAATCTATGGAAAAATCTATGGAAAAATCACTCATGAACTGCTCGTACTGATCCTCATCTTCTCCTGGAAAAAACATGGGAAAATCCATGGAAAAATCCATGGGAAAAACATGGAAAAATCTATGGGAAAATCTATGGAAAAATCTATGGAAAAATCCCCCATGAACTGCTCGTACTGATCCTCGTCCTCTCCTGGAAAAATGGGAAAAAACATGGAAAAAACATGGAAAAATCCATGGAAAAATCACTCATGAACTGCTCGTACTGATCCTCCCTCATCTTCCCCTGGGAAACAGAGAAAACATGGAAAAAACATGGAAAAAACATGGGAAAATCATGGAAAAATCCATGGGAAAATCTATGGAAAAATCCCCCATGAATTGCTCAGACTGATCCTCATCCTCCCCTGGAAAACAGGGAAAACATGGAAAATCCATGGGAAAATCTATGGAAAAATCTATGGAAAAATCCCCCATGAACTGCTCGTACTGATCCTCATCTTCCCCTGGAAAATGGGAAAAACATGGAAAAATCATGGGAAAATCATGGAAAAATCACTCATGAACTGCTCGTACTGATCCTCGTCCTCTCCTGGAAAACGTGGAAAAATAATGGGAAAATCCATGGGAAATCCACGGGAAATCGCCCATGAATTGCTCAGACTGATCCTCGTCCTCTCCTGGAAACATGGAAAAATCCATGGGAAAATCTATGGAAAAAACATGGGAAAATCACTCATGAACTGCTCGTACTGATCCTTGTCCTCTCCTGGAAAAATGGGAAAAACCCACTGGAAAAATCATGGAAAAATCAATGGAAAAATCCCCCATGAACTGCTCGTACTGATCCTCATCTTCTCCTGGAAAACGGGAAAAACATGGAAAAATCATGGAAAAAACATGGAAAAATCTATGGAAAAATCACTCATGAACTGCTCGTACTGATCCTCATCTTCTCCTGGAAAAAACATGGGAAAACATGGAAAAATCTATGGAAAAATCTATGGAAAAATCCCCCATGAACTGCTCGTACTGATCCTCATCTTCTCCTGGAAAAAACATGGAAAAATCCATGGAAAAATCTATGGAAAAATCACTCATGAACTGCTCGTACTGATCCTCATCTTCCCCTGGAAAACAGGGAAAAATCATGGAAAAATCATGGAAAAATCTATGGAAAAATCCATGGAAAAATCCCCCATGAACTGCTCGTACTGATCCTCATCTTCTCCTGGAAAATGGGAAAAACATGGAAAAATCATGGAAAAAACATGGAAAAATCTATGGAAAAATCACTCATGAACTGCTCGTACTGATCCTCATCTTCTCCTGGAAAAAACATGGGAAAACATGGAAAAATCTATGGAAAAATCTATGGAAAAATCCCCCATGAACTGCTCGTACTGATCCTCATCTTCTCCTGGAAAAAACATGGGAAAATCATGGAAAAATCATGGAAAAATCCATGGAAAAATCCCCCATGAACTGCTCGTACTGATCCTCATCTTCTCCTGGAAAAAACATGGGAAAACATGGAAAAATCCATTGGATGGAAATATGGAAAAATCCATGGGAAATATGGAAAAATCCATGGAAAATCCATGGAAAATCCATGGGAAAAATGGAAAATCCATGGAAAATCCATGGGAAAACATGGAAAAATCCCTCATGAACTGCTCGTACTGATCCTCACCCTCCCTTGACAAACCATGGAAAATCCAGGGAAAATTCATCCCCAAATCTTATTGGGATCAGAAATTCACCCCAAATCTTTTTGGGATTCCAATCCCCAATTTTGCAGATTTTTCAATCCCAAATTTTGGGACAGAAAAAAATTTTTCCCAAATTTTTGGCTGGACATGAAAACTTCACCCTCATTTTCCCAAATTCCCTTTCACCAACCCCAAAATTCCCAATTTTTTCCACTTCCCACCCCAACCCCCTTTAACCTGGTGAATCCCCACTTCCATAAATCCCAAAATAAGTGGGAATTCCATGGAAAATCCTGGAAAAATGTACCTAAATCCACCATGAGGAGGCGGCCCAGGGCGGTGTAGAAGGTGGTGCGGCAGCGCATGTCCGTCAGGTTGGACTGGTTGTTGATGCCCAGGAAGGAAAAATGTTCGCTCTGGAAAAAAGGGAAAAACTGGGATGAGATCCAGGAAAAAAATTCCCACATGGAAAAGGTGATTTTTGTTTTTTTTTTGTTTTTTTCCCAGAGAAAAAATGGGAAAATCCGATGGGAAATCTGGGTTTTTCCAAGTTTCATTTCCCAGGAATGTTGATTCCCAGGAAGGAAAAAAAGGGAAAAATTGGGATGAGATCCAGGAAAAAAAATTCCCACATGGAAAAGGTGATTTTTGGTTTTTTTCTCAGAGAAAAAACGGGAAAATCCGATGGGAAATGGGAGAAATCTGGGTTTTTTTTCCAAGTTGCATTCCCAGGAATGTTGATTCCCAGGAAGGAAAAAAAGGGAAAAATTGGGATGAGCTCCAGGAAAAAAATTCCCACATGGAAAAAGTGATTTTTGGTTTTTTTTTGGTTTTTTTCCAGAGAAAAAGCGGGAAAATCCAATGGGAAATGGAGAAATTTGGGGTTTTTTTCCCAAGTTGCATTCCCAGGAAGGAAAAATGCTCACTCTGGAAAAAAGGGAAAAATTGGGATGAGCTGAGGAAGGAAAAAAGAAAAAATTCCCACATGGAAAAAGTGGTTTTTGGATTTTTTTTGGGTTTTTTTCCAGAGAAAAAATGGGAAAATCCGATGGGAAATGGAGAAATCTGGGGTTTTTTTTGAATGTTGGTTCCCAGGAAGGAAAAGTGCTTGCTCTGGAAAAAAGGAAAAATTGGGATGAGCTCCAGGAAAAAAAATTCCCACATGGAAAAGGTGATTTTTGGTTTTTTTTTTAATTTTTTTCCCAGAGAAAAAAACGGGAAAATCCGATGGGAAATGGAGAAATCTGGGTTTTTTTTTTTCCAATTGCATTCCCAGGAAGGAAAAGTGCTTGCTTGGGAAAAATAGGAAAAAAATTGGGATGAGCTCCAGGAAAAAAATTCCCACATGGAAAAGGTGATTTTGGGTTTTTTTTTTAATTTTTTTTCCAAGTTGCATTTCCCAGGAATGTTGGTTCCCAGGAAGGAAAAATGCTCGCTCTGGAAAAAAGGGAAAATTGGGATGAGCTGGGGAAGGAAAAACTCCAGGGAAAAAAAAAAATCCCACATGGAAAAGGTGATTTTTGGTTTTTTTTTTCTTTTTTTTTCCCAGAGAAAAAATGGGAAAATCCGATGGGAAATCTGGGTTTTTCCAAGTTTCATTCCCAGGAATGTTGATTCCCAGGAAGGAAAAGTGCTCGCTCTGGAAAAAAATGGAAAAATTGGGATGAGATCCAGAAAAAAAATTCCCACATGGAAAAGGGTTTTTTTTGGTTTTTTTTTGGTTTTTTTCCAGAGAAAAAATGGGAAAATCCGATGGGAAATGGAGAAATCTGGGTTTTTCCAAGTTTCATTTCCCAGGAATGTTGATTCCCAGGAAGGAAAAGTGCTCGCTCTGGAAAAAAGGGAAAAATTGGGATAAGATCCAGGAAAAAAATTCCCACATGGAAAAGGTGATTTTTGGGTTTTTTTTGTTTTTTTTTTCCCAGAGAAAAAAATGGGAAAATCCGATGGGAAATCTGGGTTTTTCCAAGTTTCATTTCCCAGGAATGTTGGTTCCCAGGAAGGAAAAATAGGAAAAATTGGGATGAGCTCCAGGAAAAAAATTCCCACATGGAAAAGGTGATTTTTGGTTTTTTTGGGTTTTTTTTCCAGAGAAAAAATGGGAAAATCCGATGGGAAATGGGAGAAATTTGGGTTTTTCCAAGTTGCATTCCCCAGGAAGGAAAAGTGCTCGCTCTGGAAAAAAGGGAAAAATTGGGATGAGATCCAGGAAAAAAATTCCCACATGGAAAAGGTGATTTTTGTTTTTTTTTTCCCAGAGAAAAAATGGGAAAATCTGATTGGAAATGGAGAAATCTGGGTTTTTCCAAGTTGAATCCCAAAAATCTGCTGGGATTGGTGGAATGATGGAAATTTGGAGGCTGCAAATCCCAATTTTTTTCTCTCTCCCCCTGGGATTTCCAGGTTACTCAGGAAATTGGGAAATTTATGGATTTTTCCCAAGGAAAACCCAAATTTTGCAAATCTCGGCTTGGGGAAAAAACTTCTGGAATTCCTGGGAAAACTCTTCCAGGGACAGAGGAATTCCAGGAATTCTGGCTCTGCCTCTGGGATGGGAACCCTTCAGGTTGATTGCTGGTTTTTTCCATGGAAAAATGAAATTCCAGGCTGGGAATGGGGGCTGAAATCCCTGGGAATGCCTGGAAAATCTCCTTTAATTTCAGGAAAGTCTGGAAAAAATTATGAGAACTCCAGGAATTCCTGGAAAACATTATGGGAACTCTGGGAATTCTTGGAAATGCCTGGAAATCATCCCTGAAATCTAAGAAATTCCTGGGAAACATCCTGGAAATGATCAATGAACTCCAGGAATGCAGGGAGAACATTCCTGGAAATGTCTGGAAAACCTCCCTGAACTCCAGGAAAGTCTGGAAAACATTATGGGAACTCCAGGAATGGCTGGAAAAAATCCTGGAAATCATTCCTGAACTCCAGGAATGCCAAGAAACCATTCCAGGAATTGCCTGGAAAACTTCCTTTAATTCCAGGAATTCCTGGAAAACCTCCTGGAAATCATCAATGAACTCCAGGAATGCAGGGAAAACCTTGCTGGAAATGTCTGGAAAACCTCCTTTAATTCCAAGAATGCCAGGAAAACATCCTGGGAACTTCAGGAATTCCTGGAAAACCTTCTGGAAATCATCAATGAACTCCAGGAATGCAAGGAGAACATTCCTGGAAATGTCTGGAAAACCTCCCTTAATTCCAGGAATTCCTGGAAATCATCCTGGAAACTCCAGGAATGCCTGGAAATGATCCCTGAACTCCCCAATCCCACACCGGGAATTTTCCAGGAATGAGCTTGGAGAGCAAAAAACCTTCGGGAACCCCAAACCCCATCCCCTAAAAACCAAAATATTCCATCAAAAAAAAACCCCAAAAAAATTTTTCCAGCACNCAGAAACCCCGGGAAGGGAGATGGAATTCCAGAGGATGGAATTTTCTTTGGGAATTTTCTTTGGGAATTTGGCGCTCACCATCCCCTAAAATCCAAAATATTCCACCCAAAAAAACCCCAAAAAAATTTTCCAGCACCGCAGAAACCCCGGGAAGGAAGATGGAATTCCAGAGGATGGAATTTTGGTTGGGAATTTTCTTTCTTTGGGAATTTTCTTTGGGAATTTTCCTTGGGAATTTTCCTTGGGAATGCGGCGCTCACCATCCCCCTAAAAACCAAAATATTCCACCCAAAAAAAACCCCAAAAAAATTTTCCAGCACCACAGAAACCCTGGGGAGGGAGATGGAATTCCAGAGGATGGAATTTTCTTTCTTTGGGAATTTTCTTTCTTTGGGAATTTTCTTTGGGAATTTTCCTTGGGAATGTGGCGCTCACCATCCCCCTAAAAACCAAAATATTCCATCAAAAAAAAACCCCAAAAAATTTTCCAGCACCACAGAAACCCTGGAGAGGGAGATGGAATTCCAGAGGATGGAATTTTCTTTCTTTGGGAATTTTCCTTGGGAATGTGGCGCTCACCATCCCCCTAAAAACCAAAATATTCCACCCAAAAAAATTTTCCAGCACCACAGACACCCCGGGAAGGGAGATGGAATTCCAGAGGATGGAATTTTCTTTGGGAATTTTTTTTGGGAATTTTCTTTGGGAATGTGGTGCTCACCATCCCCCTAAAAACCAAAATATTCCACCCAAAAAAACCCCCAAAAAATTTTCCAGCACCACAGAAACCCTGGGGAGAGAGATGGAATTCCAGAGGATGGAATTTTCGTCGGGAATTTTCGTTGGGAATGTTTTTTTGGGAATTTTCGTTGGGAATGTGGCGCTTACCATCCCCTAAAAACCAAAATATTCCACTCAAAAAAACCCCAAAAAATTTTCCAGCACCACAGAAACCCCGGGGAGGGAGATGCAATTCCAGAGGATGGAATTTTTGTTGGGAATTTTCTTCTTTGGGAATTTTCTTTGGGAATTTCCTTTGGGAATGCGGCGCTCACCATCCCCCTAAAAACCAAAATATTCCACCCAAAAAAACCCCCAAAAAATTTTCCAGCACCACAGAAACCCTGGAGAGGGAGATGGAATTCCAGAGGATGGAATTTTCTTTGGGAATTTTCTTGTTTGGGAATTTTTTTTGGGAATTTTCCTTGGGAATGTGGCGCTCACCATCCCCTAAAAACCAAAATATTCCACCCAAAAAAAAACCCAAAAAAATTTTCCAGCACCACAGAAACTCTGGGGAGAGAGATGGAATTCCAGAGGATGGAATTTTCTTCTTTGGGAATTTTCTTTGGGAATTTTCCTTGGGAATGTGGCGCTCACCATCCCCCTAAAAACCAAAATATTCCACCAAAAAATTTTCCAGCTCCACAGAAACCCCGGGGAGGGAGATGGAATTCCAGAGGATGGAATTTTGGTTGGGAATTTTCTTTCTTTGGGAATTTTTTTTGGGAATTTTCCTTGGGAATGTGGNTCCATTCCCAGGAAGGAAAAGTGGAAAAGTGCTCGCTCTGGAAAAATAGGAAAAATTGGGATGAGCTGAGGAGGGAAAAAAAAAAAATTCCCACATGGAAAAGGTGATTTTTGGATTTTTTTAAAATTTTTTTTCCAAGTTGCATTCCCAGGAATGTTGATTCCCAGGAAGGAAAAGTGGAAAAGTGCTCGCTCTGGAAAAAAGGGAAAAATTGGGATGAGATCCAGGAAAAAAATTCCCACATGGAAAAAGTGATTTTTGTTTTTTTTTAAAATTTTTTTCCTAGAGAAAAAATGGGAAAATCCGATGGGAAATGGAGAAATTTGGGTTTTTCCAAGTTGCATTCCCAGGAAGGAAAAGTGCTCGCTCTGGAAAAAAGGGAAAAATTGGGATGAGATCCAGGAAAAAAATTCCCACATGGAAAAAGTGATTTTTGTTTTTTTTTTTGGTTTTTTTTTGGTTTTTTTTTCTCAGAGAAAAAATGGGAAAATTCGATGGGAAATGGAGAAATCTGGGTTTTTTTTGAATGTTGGTTCCCAGGAGGGAGAAGTGCTCACTCTGGAAAAAAAGGGAAAAATTGGGATGAGATCCAGGAAAAAAATTCCCACATGGAAAAGGTGATTTTTGGGGTTTTTTTGGTTTTTTTTTCCCGGAGAAAAAGTGGGAAAATCTGATGGGAAATGGAGAAATCTGGGTTTTTCCAAGTTGCATTCCCAGGAATGTTGATTCCCAGGAAGGAAAAGTGGAAAAGTGCTCACTCTGGAAAAAAGGAAAAAATTGGGATGAGATCCAGGAAAAAAATTCCCACATGGAAAAGGTGATTTTTGGATTTTTTTAAATTTTTTTCCTAGAGAAAAAATGGGAAAATCTGATGGGAAATGGGAGAAATTTGGGTTTTTCCAAGTTGAATCCCAAAAATCTGCTGGGATTGGTGGAATGATGGAATTCTGGAGGCTGCAAATCCCAATTTTTTCTCTCTCCCCCTGGAATTTCCAGGTTACTCAGGAAATTGGGAAATTTATGGATTTTTCCAAGGAAAACCCCAATTTTGCAAATCTCGGCTTGGGGAAAAAACTTCTGGAATTCCTGGGAAAACTCTTCCAGGGACAGAGGAATTCCAGGAATTCTGGCTCTGCCTCTGGGATGGGAATCCTTCAGGTTGATTGCTGGTGTTTTCCATGGAAAAATGAAATTCCAGGCTGGGAATGGGGGCTGAAATCCCTGGGAATGCAGGGAAAATATTTCTGGAAATGCCTGGAAAACTTCCTTTAATTCCAGGAAAGCCTGGGAAACATCCTGGAAATCATCCCTGAACTCCAGGAATGCCAAGAAACCATTCCAGGAATTGCCTGGAAAACCTCCCTTAATTCCAAGAATTCCTGGAAAACATCCTGGGAACTCCTGGAAATGCCTGGGAATCATCCCTGAAATCCAAGAATGCAGGGAGATCATTCCTGGAAAACTTCCTTCAATTCCAGGAAAGTCTGGAAAAAATTATGGGAACTCCCGGAAATACTTGGAAAACATTCCCTGAACTCCAGGAATGCCAAGAAACCATTCCTGGAATTGCCTGGAAAACTTTCTTTAATTCCAAGAATGCCTGGAAAAAATTATGGGAACTCCTGGAAATGCCTGGGAATCATCCCTGAAATCTAAGAAATTCCTGGGAAACATCCTGGAAATCATCAATGAACTCCAGGAATGCAGGGAAAACATTCCTGAAAATGCCTGGAAAACTTCCTTTAATTCCAGGAAAGCCTGGAAAACATCCTGGAAACTCCAGGAATTGTTGGAAATGCCTGGAAATCATCCCATAACTCTTAAAAATGCAGGGAAAACATTCCTGGAAATGTCTGGAAAATGTTGCTGGAATTGCCTGGAAAATCTCCTTTAATTCCAGAAATTCCTGGAAAAAATCCTGGAAATCATCAATGAACTCCAGGAATGCCAAGAAACCATTCCAGGAATTGTCTGGAAAACTTCCTTTAATTCCAGAAATGCCTGGAAAACATCCTGGGAACTCCTGGAAATACTTGGAAAACATTCCCTGAACTCCAGGAATTCCTGGAAAACATTCCTGAAAATGCCTGGAAAAATTCCCTTAATTACAGAAATTCCAGGAAAACCTCCTGGAAATGATCCCTGAACTCCAGGAAAGTCTGGAAAACATTATGGGAACTCCTGGGAATTCTTGGAAATGCCTGGAAATCATCCCATAACTCTTAAAAATGCAGGGAAAACATTCCTGGAAATGTCTGGAAAACTTCCTGTAATTCCAGGAATGCCTGGAAAAAATCCTGGAAATCATCCCTGAACTCCAGGAATGCCTGGAAAATATTATGGGAACTCCTGGAAATACTTGGAAAACATTCCCTGAACTCCAGGAATGCAGGGAAAACATTCCTGGAAAACTTCCTTTAATTCCAGGAATTCCTGGAAATGATCCCTGAACTCCACAATCCCACACCGGGAATTTTCCAGGAATGAGCTTGGAGAGCAAAAACCCTTTGGGAACCCCAAACACCACCAAAAAACCAAAATATTCCATCAAAAAAAAACCCCAAAAAATTTTCCAGCACCGCAGAAACCCCGGGGAGGGAGATGGAATTCCAGAGGATGGAATTTTCTTTGGGAATTTTCTTTCTTTGGGAATTTCCTTTGGGAATGTGGCGCTCACCATCCCCATAAAACCCAAATATTCCACCCAAAAAAACCCCAAAAAAATTTTCCAGCACCACAGAAACCACGGGAAGGGAGATGGAATTCCAGAGGATGGAATTTTCTTTCTTTGGGAATTTTCTTTGGGAATTTTCCTTGGGAATGTGGCGCTCACCATCCCCCTAAAAACCAAAATATTCCATCAAAAAAACCCCCAAAAAAATTTTCCAGCACCACAGAAACCCCGGGAAGGGAGATGGAATTCCAGAGGATGGAATTTTCTTTCCTTGGGAATTTTCTTTGGGAATTTTTTTTGGGAATTTTCCTTGGGAATGCGGCGCTCACCATCCCCCTAAAAACCAAAATATTCCACCAAAAAATTTTCCAGCACCACAGAAACCCTGGGGAGAGAGATGGAATTCCAGAGGATGGAATTTTCCTTGGGAATTTTCTTCTTTGGGAATTTTTTTTGGGAATTTTCCTTGGGAATTTTTCTTGGGAATGTGGCGCTCACCATCCCCCTAAAAACCAAAATATTCCATCAAAAAAAAACCCCAAAAAAATTTTCCAGCACCACAGAAACCCTGGGGAGAGAGACGGAATTCCAGAGGATGGAATTTTCTTCTTTGGGAATTTTCCTTGGGAATGTGGCGCTCACCATCCCCCTAAAAACCAAAATATTCCACCCAAAAAAATTTTCCAGCACCACAGAAACCCTGGAGAAGGAGATGGAATTCCAGAGGATGGAATTTTCTTTGGGAATTTTCTTTCTTTGGGAATTTTCCTTGGGAATGTGGCGCTCACCATCCCCCTAAAAACCAAAATATTCCACCCAAAAAAAAATCCAAAAAATTTTCCAGCACCACAGAAACCCTGGAGAGGGAGATGGAATTCCAGAGGATGGAATTTTCTTTCTTTGGGAATTTTCTTTGGGAATTTTCCTTGGGAATGTGGCGCTCACCATCCCCTAAAAACCAAAATATTCCACCCAAAAAAAACCCCAAAAAATTTTCCAGCACCACAGAAACCCTGGAGAGGGAGATGGAATTCCAGAGGATGGAATTTTCTTTGGGAATTTTCTTCTTTGGGAATTTTCTTTGGGAATTTGGCGCTCACCATCCCCCTAAAAACCAAAATATTCCACCAAAAAAAACCCCAAAAATTTTTCCAGCACCGCAGAAACCCCGGGGAGAGAGATGGAATTCCAGAGGATGGAATTTTCTTTCTTTGGGAATTTTTTTTGGGAATTTTCCTTGGGAATGTGGCGCTCACCGTGTGGTTGTTGAGCATGAACTGCACGGCGCTGAGCTTGACCAGCTTGCGGACGCTGCTGTAGGTGCAGGGCGTCAAGGAAGAGGCAGCGAGGCTGGGATGGACGGAATTCCCAAAAAATTCCATGGGAATTCTCCAGGGGAAGGATGGGAAAATGGGATTGGGGCTGGTTGGTTCAGGAAATTGGGAATTTATGGGTTTTTTATAAGGGTAATTCAAGTTTTGTAAATGGCAGCTTGGGGAGAGCCTTGGTGATCACTGGGGAAAAACTCAGGAACTTGTGGAATTTATGGAAATTCTGGAATTCCCAGAAGTTGTGGAATTCCTGGAAAACACTTCCAGGGAAAGGCTGGAAAAATGGGATTGGGTCTGGATTACTCAGAAAATGGGAATTGCTCAGGAAATTGGGAAATTTATGGGTTTTTCCAAGGATAATCCAAATTTTGAAAATCTTGGCTTGGGGAGATTTTGGCTCGGTGATCACTGGGGAAAAACTCAGGAACTTCTGGAATTTATGGAATTTGTGGAATTCCTGGAAAACACTTCCAGGGACAGGCTGGAAAAATGGGAATGGGGTTGGATTACTCAGGAAATTGGGAATTTATGGGTTTTTCTAAGGGTAATCCAAATTTTGAAAATCTAAGCTTGGGGAGACGTCCTGGGGGAAACTCAGGGTCTGGAATTTATGGAATTCCTGGGAATCACTTCCAGGACCAGGCTGGAAAAATGGGATTGGGCCTGGATTACTCAGAAATTGGGAATTGCCTGGATTACTCAGGAAATTGGGAAATTTATGGGTTTTTCCAAGGATAATCCAAATTTTGAAAATCTCGGCTTGGGGAGATTTTGGCTCGGTGATCACTGGGGAAAAACTCAGGAATTTCTGAAAGTTGTGGAATTCCTGGAAATTCTGGAATTCCTGGGAATAACGTCCAGGGAAAGGCTGGAAAAATGGGATTGGGGCTGGTTGATTCAGGAAATTGGGAAATTTATGGGTTTTTCTAAGGGTAATTCAAATTTTGTAAATCTCAATTTGGGGAGAGCTTTGGTGACCGTTGGGGAAAAACTCAGGAACTTCTGGAATTTATGGAATTTGTGGAATTCCTGGGAATCACTTCCAGGCCCAGGGTGGAAAAATGGGATTGGGGTTGGATTACTCAGAAATTGGGAAATTTATGGGTTTTTCTAAGGATAATCCAAATTTTGTAAATCTCATCTTGGGGAGACGTCCTGGGGAAAAACTCAGGGTCTGGAATTTGTGGAATTCCTGGAAACTCTGGAATTCCAGGAAATTCTGGAATTCATGGAAAACACTTCCAGGACCAGGCTGGAAAAATGGGATTGGGGCTGGAATATTCAGGAAATTGGGAATTTATGGGTTTTTCTAAGGGTAATTCAAATTTTGTAAATGGCAGCTTGGGTAAAACTCAGGAACTTCTGGAATTCCTGGAATTTGTGGAATTCCTGGGAATCACTTCCAGGGCCAGGCTGGAAAAATGGGATTGGGCCTGGAATATTCCAGAAGTTGGGAATTTTATGTTTTTTCCAAGGATAATCCAAATTGTGCAAATCTCAATTTTGAGGAGAGCCTTGGTGACCGTTGGGGAAAAACTCGGGAACTTCTGGAATTTATGGAATTTCTGGGAATCACTTCCAGGGAAACCTGGAAAAATGGGATTGGGCCTGGAATATTCAGGAAATTGGGAAATTTATGGGTTTTTCCAAGGGTAATCCAAATTTTGTAAATCTCGGCTTGGGGAGAGCCTTGGTGATCACTGGGGAAAAACTCAAAGTCTGGAAGTTGTGGAATTCCTGGAAATTCTGGAATTCATGGAAAACACTTCCAGGACCAGGCTGGAAAAACGGGATTGAGGCAGGTTGATTCAGGAAATTGGGAAATTTATGGGTTTTTCTAAGGGTAATTCAAATTTTGAAAATCTCGGCTTGGGGACACATCCTGGGGAAAAGTCAGGGTCTGGAATTTATGGAATTTATGGAATTCCTGGGAATCACTTCCAGGGAAAGGCTGGAAAAATGGGATTGGGGCTGGTTGATTCAGGAAATTGGGAAATTTATGGGTTTTTCTAAGGATAATCCAAATTTTGTAAATGGCAGCTTGGGGAGAGCTTTGGTGACCGTTGGGGAAAAAATCCAGGCCTGGAAATTCTGGAATTTATGGAAAACACTTCCAGGGAAAGGCTGGAAAAATGGGATTGGGCCTGGAATATTCAGGAAATTGGGAATTTTATGGGTTTTTCTAAGGGTAATTCAAATTTTGAAAATCACAATTTGGGGAGAGCCTTGGTGACCCCTGGGGAAAAACTCAGGAACTTCTGGAATTTATGGAATTTGTGGAATTCCTGGAAAAAACACTTCCAGGGACAGGCTGGAAAAATGGGATTGGGCCTGGAATATTCCAGAAGTTGGGAATTTTATGTTTCTTCCAAGGATAATTCAAATTTTGTAAATCTCGGTTTGGGGAGAACTCAGGAACTTCTGGAATTTATGGAATTTATGGAATTCCTGGAAAACACTTCCAGGGAAAGGCTGGAAAAANGAATTTCTGGGATTGGCTGTGGGATTGGAATTCTCTGGGATTGGCAGCACCTGGAATTCTGTGGGATTGGTTACAGCTGGAATTTCTGGGATTGGTTATACCTGGAATTCTTTAGGATCCCAGGCCCCTTAAATTCTCTGGGATTGGTTACACCTGGAATTCTCTGGGATTGGCTGTGGGATTGGAATTCTGTGGGATTGGCTACAGCTGGAATTTCTGGGATTGGTTATACCTGGAATTTCTGTGGGATTGGCAGCACCTGGAATTCTGTGGGATTGGTTATACCTGGAATTTCTGGGATTGGATGCATCTGGAATTTCTGGGAATGGTTGCACATGGAATTCTGTGGGATTCCAGATTACACTTGGAATTTTGTGGGATTCCAGGCTCTTGAAATTCTGTGGGATTGGCTGCCTCTGGAATTTCTGGGATTGGCTGCCCTTGGAATTCTGTGGGACTGCAGGCCCCTGGGATTCTGTGGGATTGGTTACACCTGGAATTTTTGGGATTGGTTACACCTGGAATTTTTGGGATTGATTGGTTAAACCCGGAATTCTGTGGGATTCCAGGCCCCTTAAATTCTGTGGGATTGGTTACACGTGGAATTTCTGGGAATGGTTACACCTGGAATTTTTGGGATTGGTTACACCTGGAATTTCTGGGATTGGCTGCCCTTGGAATTTTTGGGATTGGCTGCCCTTGGAATTTTTGGGATTGGTTACATCTGGAATTCTGAGGGATCCCAGGCCCCTTAAATTCTGTGGGATTGGTTACACCTGGAATTTCTGGGAATGGTTACACCTGGAATTCTCTGAGATTCTGTGGGATTGGTTACACCTAGAATTTATGGGATTGGCTGCAATTGGAATTTCTGGGATTGGTTAGACCTGGAATTTCTAGGATTGGCTGCACCTGGAATTTTTGGGATTGGTTACAGCTGGGATTTCTGAGAATTCCACACATGGAATTCTGTGGGATTGGTTACACCTGGAATTTTTGGGAATGGTTACACCTGGAATTTCTGTGGGATTGGTCAGACCTGGAATTTCTAGGATTGGCTGCACCTGGAATTTCTGGGAATGGTTACACCTGGAATTCTGAGGGATTCCAGGCCCCTTAAATTCTGTGGGAATGGTTACACCTGGAATTATGGGATTGGCTGCCCTTGGAATTTGTGGGATTGGTTCCAGCTGGAATTTCTGGGAATGCTTACACCTGGAATTCTGTGGGATTCCAGGTCTGTGGGATTGGTTACACCTGGAATTTTTGGGATTGGTTATACCTGGAATTATGGGATTGGCTACACCTGGAATTTTTGTGGGAAATTTTTGTCCTTTGGAAAATCCCATCCCAAACCCCCTGAGCTCCCTACACCAATCCCAGCTTTTCGGGGTGAGGAATTCCAGGAATTTCAGGCCCCTTAAATTCTGTGGGATTGGTTCCAGCTGGAATTTTTGGGATTGATTGGTTAAACCCGGAATTCTGTAGGATTGGTTACACCTGGAATTATGGGATTGGCTACACGTGGAATTCTCTGGGATTCCAGGTCTCTGAGATTCTGTGGGATTTGTTATATCTGGAATTTTTGGGATTGGTTGCACCTGGAATTTCTGGGATTGGCTACACCTGGAATTCTCTGAGATTCTGTGGGATTGGTTACACCTGGAATTTATGGGATTGGCTGCCCTTGGAATTTTTGGGATTGGTTACATCTGGAATTTCTGGGCTTNGGCTTGGGGAGACGTCCTGGGGAAAAACTCAAGGTCTGGAATTTATGGAATTCCTGGAAACTCTGGAATTCCAGGAAATTCTGGAATTCATGGAAAACACTTCCAGGACCAGGCTGGAAAAATGGGATTGGGGCTGGTTGATTCAGGAAATTGGGAAATTTATGGGTTTTTCTAAGGGTAATCCAAATTTTGTAAATCTCGGCTTGGGGAAAGATTTGGTGACCATTGGGGAAAAACTCAGGAACTTCTGGAATTCCTGGAAGTTGTGGAATTCCTGGAAAACACTTCCAGGGAAAGGATGGAAAAATGGGATTGGGTCTGGATTACTCAGGAAATTGGGAAATTTATGGGTTTTACCAAGGATAATCCAAATTTTGAAAATCTCAGCTTGGGGAGGCGTCCTGGGAAAAACTCAGGGTCTGGAATTCCTGGAAATTTGTGGAATTCCTGGAAGTTGTGGAATTCCTGGGAAACACTTCCAGGACCAGGCTGGAAAAATGGGATTGGGTCTGGATTACTCAGGAAATTGGGAAATTTATGGGTTTTTCCAAGGATAATCCAAATTTTGAAAATTGCGGCTTGGGGAGACGTCCTGGGAAAAACTCAGGGTCTGGAATTTATGGAATTCCTGGAAATTCTGGAATTCATGGAAAACACTTCCAGGACCAGGCTGGGAAAATGGGATTGGGCTTGAATTACTCAGAAATTGGGAATTTTTTGTTTGTTCCAAGGATAATCCAAATTTTGCAAATCTCATCTTGGGGAGAGCTTTGGTGACCCCTGGGAAAAACTCAGGAACTTCTGGAATTTATGGAATTTGTGGAATTCCTGGGAATCACTTCCAGGGAAAAGCTGGAAAAATGGGATTGGGGCTGGTTGATTCAGGAAGTTGGGAAATTTATGGGTTTTTCTAAGGGTAATCCAAATTTTGTAAATCTCGGTTTGGGAAAAACTCAGGAACTTCTGGAATTTATGGAATTTATGGAATTCCTGGAAAACACTTCCAGGGAAAGGCTGGAAAAATGGGATTGGGCCTGGATTACTCAGGAAATTGGGAATTTTATGTTTCTTCCAAGGATAATTCAAATTTTGTAAATCTCGGTTTGGGGAGACGTCCTGGGGAAAAACTCAGGGTCTGGAATTCCTGGAAATTCTGGAATCCCAGGAATTTATGGAATTCCTTGAAAACTCTGGAATCCCAGGAATTTATGGAATTTCTTGAAAACTCTGGAATCCCAGGAATTTATGGAATTCCCAAAACCTCTGGAATTCCAGGAATTTATGGAATTCCTTGAAACCTCTGGAATCCCAGGAATTTATGGAATTCCTGAAAACCTCTGGAATCCCAGGGATTTATGGAATTCCTGAAACCTCTGGAATCCCAGGGATTTATGGAATTACTGAAACCTCTGGAATTCCAGGGATTTGTGGAATTCCTGAAAACCTCTGGAATCCCAGGGATTTATGGAATTCCCGAAACCTCTGGAATCCCAGGAATTTGTGGAATTCCTGAAACCTCTGGAATTCCTGGAAATTGTGGAATTCCTTGAAACTCTGGAATCCCAGGAATTTATGGAATTCCTGAAACCTCTGGAATCTCAGGGATTTATGGAATTCCTGGAACCTGTGGAATCCCAGGAATTTATGGAATTCCTTGAAACCTTTGGAATCTCAGGAATTTGTGGAATTCCAGGAATTTATGGAATTCCTGAAACCTCTGGAATTCCAGGAATTTATGGAATTCCTTGAAACTCTGGAATCCCAGGAATGTGCGGAATTCCCGAAACCTCTGGAATCTCAGGAATTTGTGGAATTCCAGGAATTTGTGGAATTCCTTGAAACTCTGGAATCCCAGGAATTTGCGGAATTCCTGAAAACCTCTGGAATCCCAGAAATTTACGGAATTCCCAAAAACCTCTGAAATTCCTGAAAAACCAGCAGCCACACTACAACTCCCCATGGAAAACTCCAACTTCAACAGAATAACCAACACCCAAATCCCCAATAACCCACACCCCCGCCGGCCTCATCCCGGCCTTCTCCGCCCTCATTCCCACAAATCCGATGGAAAAGCGGGAATGTGGGGGTGCTGCCATGGCAGGGGAATTTTGGGATGAGCTTTTCCCGAGGATTTGGGAATTTTTTCCGAAGGATATCCGATGGAAAGGTCGTTGAGCAGCTGCAGGGTCTTGGAGGTGATCGGCTCGCAGCGGCCCCAGTACTTCAGGTTGGTGATGCTGCCGAGGAAAAACATGGATTAGAGCGGATTTCTGGGATTTTTCCAGGTTTTTTCTGGGAATTGGGGTTGGTTTTTCCACAGTTTTCACGCCTCTCAATAGCACGGAGAATAAAATTGGGAGGGGAATCATCAGGGTGGTGAAAAATGGGAAAGTTGTGCTGTGGGAATCTTGGATGCTGGGATAGAGCTGGGATTCTGTGGGGTTGGTTANTGATCCTCGTCCTCTCCTGGAAAACGGGAAAAACATGGAAAAAACATGGGAAAACATGGAAAAAACATGGGAAAATCATGGAAAAATCCATGGGAAAATCTATGGAAAAAACATGGGAAAATCACTCATGTACTGCTTGTACTGATCCTCGTCCTCTCCTGGAAAACGTGGAAAAATTATGGGAAAATCCATGGGAAATCCATGGAAAAATCTATGGAAAAATCCATGGAAAAATCACTCATGAACTGCTCATACTGATCCTCATCCTCCCCTGGAAAACAGGGAAAAACATGGAAAAATCCATGGAAAAAACATGGAAAAATCTATGGGGAAATCCCCCATGAACTGCTTGTACTGATCCTCGTCCTCTCCTGGAAAACAGGGAAAAACATGGAAAATCCATGGGAAAATCATGGGAAAATCACTCATGAACTGCTCGTACTGATCCTCGTCCTCCCCTGGAAAAAACATGGGAAAACATGGAAAAAACATGGGAAAATCCATAGGAAAATCACTCATGAACTGCCCGTACTGATCCTCGTCCTCTCCTGGAAAACGGGAAAAATCATGGAAAAACATGGGAAAATCATGGAAAAATCATGGAAAAATCTATGGAAAAATCACTCATGAACTGCTCGTACTGATCCTCGTCCTCTCCTGGAAAATGTGGAAAAATAATGGGAAAATCTATGGAAAAAACATGGGAAAATCACTCATGTACTGCTTGTACTGATCCTCATCCTCTCCTGGAAAACAGGGAAAAACATGGAAAAAACATGGAAAAATCTATGGAAAAATCGCCCATGAACTGCTCGTACTGATCCTCATCCTCTACTGGAAAACAGGGAAAAATCCATGGAAAAATCCATGGGAAAAACATGGAAAAATCTATGGAAAAATCCATGGAAAAATCACTCATGAACTGCTCAGACTGATCCTCGTCCTCCCCTGGAAAACAGGGAAAAATTATGGGAAAATCCATGGGAAATCCATGGGAAAACACGGAAAAATCCATTGGATGGAAATATGGAAAAATCCATGGGAAATATGGAAAAATCCATGGGAAATAATGGAAAAATCCATGGCAAAATCCATGGGAAACATGGAAAAATCCCTCATGAACTGCTCGTACTGATCCTCGTCCTCCCTTGACAAACCATGGGAAATCCAGGGAAAATTTATCCCCAAATCTTATTGGGATGAGAAATTCATCCCAAATCTTTTTGGGATTCCAATCCCCAATTTTGCAGATTTTCCAATCCCGTTTTGGGACGGAAAAAATTTTCCCAAATTTTTGGCGTGACATGAAAACTTCACCCTCATTTTCCCAAATTCCCCTCACCAACCCCAAAATTCCCAATTTTTTCCATTTCCCACCCCAACCTCCTTTAACCTGGTGAACCCCCACCTTGGTAAATCCCAAAATAAGTGGGAATTCCATGGAAATTCCTGGAAAATTTTACCTAAATCCACCATGAGGAGGCGGCCCAGGGCGGTGTAGAAGGTGGTGCGGCAGCGCATGTCCGTCAGGTTGGACTGGTTGTTGATGCCCAGGAAGGAAAAATGCTCGCTCTGGAAAAAAGGGAAAAATTGGGATGAGATCCAGGAAAAAAATTCCCACATGGAAAAGGTGATTTTTGGTTTTTTTCCAGAAAAAAAATGGAAAAATCCGATGGAAAATCTGGGTTTTTCCAAGTTTCGTTTCCCAGGAATGTTGATTCCCAGGAAGGAAAAGTGGAAAAGTGCTCGCTCTGGAAAAAAGGGAAAAATTGGGATGAGCTGAGGAAGAAAAAAAAAAAAAATTCCCACATGGAAAAGGTGATTTTTGGTTTTTTTTTCCAGAGAAAAAACGGGAAAATCCGGTGGGAAATCTGGATTTTTCCAAGTTGCATTCCCAGGAAGGAAAAGCACTCGCTCTGGAAAAAAATGAAAAATTGGGATGAGCTGAGGAAGGAAAAACTCCAGGAAAAAAAAAAAATTCCCACATGGAAAAGGTTTTTTTTTGGTTTTTTTTGGTTTTTTTCCAGAGAAAAAATGGGAAAATCCGATGGGAAATGGAGAAATTTGGGTTTTTTTTCCAAGTTGCATTCCCAGGAAGGAAAAATGCTCGCTCTGGAAAAATAGGAAAAATTGGGATGAGCTCCAGGAAAAAAAATTCCCACATGGAAAAGGTGATTTTTGGTTTTTTTTTTTAATTTTTTTCCCGGAGAAAAAGTGGGAAAATCCAATGGGAAATGGAGAAATTTGGGGTTTTTTTCCAAGTTGCATTCTCAGGAAGGAAAAGTACTCACTCTGGAAAAAAGGGAAAAATTGGGATGAGCTGAGGAAGGAAAAACTCCAGGAAAAAAAAAAAATTCCCACATGGAAAAGGTGATTTTTGGTTTTTTTTTAAATTTTTTTCCCAGAGAAAAAATGGGAAAATCCGATGGGAAATCTGGGTTTTTCCAAGTTGCATTTCCCAGGAATGTTGATTCCCAGGAAGGAAAAGTGGAAAAGTGCTCACTCTGGAATAAAAGGAAAAATTGGGATGAGATCCAGGAAAAAAATTCCCACATGGAAAAGGTGATTTTTGGTTTTTTTTAAATTTTTTTTCCAAGTTGCATTCCTAGGAAGGAAAAGTGCTCGCTCTGGAAAAAAAGGAAAAAATTGGGATGAGCTCCAGGAAAAAAATTCCCACATGGAAAAGGTGATTTTTGGGGTTTTTTTGGTTTTTTTCCAGAGAAAAAATGGGAAAATCTGATGGGAAATCTGGGTTTTTTTTCCAAGTTGCATTCCCAGGAAGGAAAAGTGCTCACTCTGGAAAAAAGGGAAAAATTAGGATGAGGTGAGGAAGGAAAAACTCCAGGAAAAAAAAAAAAATTCCCACATGGAAAAGGTGGTTTTTGGATTTTTTTCCAGAGAAAAAATGGGAAAATCCGATGGGAAATGGAGAAATNGGATGCTGGGATAGAGCTGGGATTCTGTGGGGTTGGTTAGACCTGGAATTCTGTGGGATTGGTCAGCCATGGAATTTCTGGGATTGGCTGTGGGATTGGAATTCTGTGGGATTGGTCAGACCTGGAATTTCTGGGATTGGTTAAACCCAGAATTCTCTGGGATTGGTTACACCTAGAATTTATGGGATTGGCTGCCCTTGGAATTTTTGGGATTGGTTACATCTGGAATTTCTGGGATTGGTTACACCTGGAATTCTCTGGGATTCCAGGTCTGTGGGATTGGTTACATCTGGAATTCTGTGGGATTGGTCAGACCTGGAATTTCTGGGATTGGTTCCATCTGGAATTTTTGGGATTGATTGGTTAAACCCGGAATCCTGTGGGATTCCAGACCTCTGAGATTCTGTGGGATTGATTACACCTGGAATTTCTGGGATTGGCTGCACTGGAATTTCTGGGATTGGTTACACCTGGAATTTTTGTGGGAAATTTTTGTCCTTTGGAAAATCCCATCCTAAACTCCCTGAGCTCCCTACACCAATCCCAGGTTTTCAGGGTGAGGAATTCCAGGAATTCCAGGCCCCTTAAATTCTGTGGGATTGGTTCCAGCTGGAATTTCTGGGAATGGTTATACCTGAAATTTTTGGGATTGGTTACACCTGGAATTCTCTGGGATTCCAGACCTCTGAGATTCTGTGGGATTGGTTACATCTGGAATTTTTGGGATTGGCTGCACCTGGAATTTCTGGGAATGGTTACACCTGGAATTCTCTGAGATTCTGTGGGATTGGTTACACCTAGAATTTATGGGATTGGCTGCCCTTGGAATTTTTGGGATTGGTTACACCTGGAATTTCTGGGCTTGGCTGCACCTGGAATTTGTGGGATTGGTCAGACCTGGAATTTGTGGGAATGATTGGTTAAACCCGGAATTCTGTGGGATTCCAGGCCCCTTAAATTCTGTGGGATTGGTTCCAGCTGGAATTTATGGGATTGGCTGCACTGGAATTTCTGGGATTGGCTGCACTGGAATTTCTGGGATTGGTTACACCTGGAATTTCTGGGATTGGCTGCCCTTGGAATTTTTGGGATTGGTTACACCTGGAATTTCTGGGCTTGGTTACACCTGGAATTATGGGATTAGCTGCAATTGGAATTTCTGGGATTGGTTATACCTGGAATTCTGTGGGATTCCAGGCCCCTTAAATTCTGTGGGATTGGTTACACCTGGAATTCTCTGGGACTGGCTGTGGGATTGGAATTCTGTGGGATTGGCTACAGCTGGAATTCTGTGGGATTGGTTATACCTGGAATTTTTGGGATTGGTTACATCTGGAATTTCTGGGATTGGCTGCCTCTGGAATTCTATGGGATTGGCTACACCTGGAATTCTGTGGGATCCCAGGTTACATCTGGAATTCTGTGGGATTGGCTGGACCTGGAATTTCTGGGACTGGTTACACCTGGAATTTCTGGGATTGGTTATACCTGGAATTTCTGGGATTGGTTACACCTGGAATTCTGTGGGATCCCAGATTACACTTGGAATTCTGTGGGATTCCAGGCTCTTGAAATTCTGTGGGATTGGCTGCCCTTGGAATTCTGTGGGATTGCAGGCCCCTGGGATTCTGTGGGATTGGTTACACCTGGAATTATGGGATTGGCTGCACCTGGAATTTTTGGGATTGGTTACATCTGGAATTCTGAGGGATTGGTCAGACCTGGAATTTCTGGGAATGGTTACACCTGGAATTCTGTGGGATTGGTTACACCTAGAATTTATGGGATTGGCTGCAGCTGGAATTTCTGGGAATGGTTACACCTGGAATTCTGTGGGATTCCAGGTCTGTGGGATTGGTTACACCTGGAATTTTTGGGATTGGTTACACCTGGAATTTCTGAGAATTCCACACCTGGAATTTCTGGGATTGGTTCCAGCTGGAATTTCTGGGATTGGTTACACCTGGAATTTTTGGGATTGGCTATACCTGGAATTTTTGCGGGAATTTTTGTCCTTTGGAAAATCCCATCCCAAACTCCCCGAGCTCCCTACACCAATCCCAGCTTTTCGGGGTGAGGAATTCCAGGAATTCCAGGCCCCTTAAATTCTGTGGAATTGGTTCCAGCTGGAATTCTCTGGGATTGGTTACACCTGGAATTCTCTGGGATTCCAGACCTCTGAGATTCTGTGGGATTGGTTACATCTGGAATTTTTGGGATTGGCTGCCCTTGGAATTTCTTGGAATGGTTACACCTGGAATTCTCTGAGATTCGCTGCACCTGGAATTTGTGGGAATGGTTACACCTGGAATTTTTGGGATTGATTGGTTAAACCCGGAATCCTGTGGGATTCCAGGCCCTTGAAACTCTGAGGGATTGGTTACACCTGGAATTTTTGGGATTGGCTACATCTGGAATTCTGAGGGATTGGTCAGATATGGAATTTCTGGGATTGGTTACACCTGGAATTCTTTGGGATCCCAGGTTACAGCTGGAATTCTGTGGGATTCCAGCTTGCACCTGAAATTCTCTGGGATTCCAGGCCCTTGGAATTCTGTGGGATTGGTTCCAGCTGGAATTTCTGAGATTGGTTACACCTGGAATTCTCTGGGATTCTGCGGGATTTGCTGCCCTTGGAATTCTGTGGGATTGGTTGCACCTGAAATTATTGGGATTGGTTACACTTGGGATTCTTTGGAATTGGCTGCACTGGAACTGTGTGGGGTTGGTTATACCTGGAATTCTTTGGGATCCCAGGTTACAGCTGGAATTCTCTGGGATTCCAGCTTGCACCTGAAATTCTCTGGGATTCTGTGGGATTTGCTGCCCTTGGAATTCTGTGGGATTGGCAGCACCTGGAATTCTTGTGATTGGCTACACTTGGAATTCTCTGGGATTCTGTGGGATTGGTTACACCTGGAATTTTTGGGATTGGCTACACCTGGAATTTTTGCGGGAAATTTTTGTCCTTTGGAAAATCCCATCCCAAACTCCCTGAGCTCCCTAAACCAATCCCAGGTTTTCGGGGTGAGAAATTCCAGGCCCCTTAAATTCTGTGGGATTGGTTACAGCTGGAATTTCTGGGATTGGCAGCACCTGGAATTCTGTGGGATTGGTTATACCTGGAATTTTTGGGATTGGCTTCAATTGGAATTTCTGGGATTGGTCAGACCTGGAATTTCTAGGATTGGCTGCACCTGGAATTTGTGGGAATGGTTACACCTGGAATTTTTGGGATTGATTGGTTAAACCCGGAATTCTGTGGGATTCCAGGCCCCTTAAATTCTGTGGGATTGGTTCCAGCTGGAATTTCTGGGAATGGTTACACCTGAAATTTTTGGGATTGGTTACACCTGGAATTCTCTGGGATTCCAGACCTCTGAGATTCTGTGGGATTGGTTCCAGCTGGAATTTTTGGGATTGGTTATACCTGGAATTATGGGATTGGCTACACCTGGAATTCTGTGGGATCCCAGGCCCCTTAAATTCTGTGGGATTGGTTCCAGCTGGAATTTCTGGGATTGGCTGCACTGGAATTTTTGGGATTGGTTACACCTGGAATTCTGTGGGATTGGTTACACCTAGAATTTATGGGATTGGCTGCCCTTGGAATTTGTGGGATTTGCTACACCTGGAATTTTTGCGGGAATTTTTATCCTTTGGAAAATCCCATCCCAAACGCCCCGAGCTCCCTACACCAATCCCAGCTTTTCGGGGTGAGGAATTCCAGGAATTCCAGGACCCTTAAATTCTGTGGGATTGGTTCCAGCTGGAATTTCTGGGATTGGTTACACCTGGAATTCTCTGGGATTCCAGACCTCTGAGATTCTTTGGGATTGGTTACACCTGGAATTATGGGATTGGCTGCACCTGGAATTGGTTCCATCTGGAATTCTGTGGGATTGATTGGTTAAACCCGGAATTCTGTGGGATTCCAGGTCCCTGAAATTCTGTGGGATTGGTTATACCTGGAATTTCTGGGATTGGCGCCACCTGAAATTTTTGGGATTGGTTGCCTCTGGAATTTCTGGGATTGGTTACACCTGGAATTCTCTGGGATTCCAGGTCTCTGAGATTCTGTGGGATTGGTTACACCTGGAATTATGGGATTGGCTGCAATTGGAATTTCTGGGATTGGTTATACCTGGAATTCTGAGGGATTGATTATCCCTGGAATTTATGGGATTGGCTGCCCTTGGAATTTCTGGGATTGGTTACACTTGGAATTCTGAGGGATTCCAGGCCCCTTAAATTCTGAGGGATTGGTTACACCTGGAATTTTTGGGATTGGTTACACCTGGAATTCTCTGGGATTGGCTGCACCTGGAATTTCTGGGAATGGTTACACCTGGAATTCTGTGGGATTCCAGGTCTGTGGGATTGGTTACACCTAGAATTTATGGGATTGGCTGCCCTTGGAATTTTTGGGATTGGTTACACCTGGAATTATGGGATTGGCTGCAATTGGAATTTCTGGGATTGGTTAGACCTGGAATTTCTGGGAATGGTTACACCTGGAATTCTCTGGGATTCCAGACCTCTGAGATTCTGTGGGATTGGTTACACCTAGAATTTATGGGATTGGCTGCCCTTGGAATTTCTGGGATTGGTTACACCTGGAATTTTTGGGATTGATTGGCTAAACCCGGAATTCTGTGGGATTCCAGGCCCCTTAAATTCTGTGGGATTGGTTCCAGCTGGAATTTCTGGGATTGGCTGCACCTGGAATTTCTGGGATTGGTTCCAGCTGGAATTTATGGGATTGGCGCCACCTGAAATTTTTGGGATTGGTTACACCTGGAATTTCTGAGAATTCCACACATGGAATTTCTGGGATTGGTTCCAGCTGGAATTTCTGGGATTGGTTACACCTGGAATTTATGGGATTGGTTATACCTGGAATTTCTAGGATTGGCTGCACCTGGAATTTGTGGGATTGGTTACACCTGGAATTCTGTGGGATTGGCTACACCTGGAATTTTTGTGGCATTTTTGCGGGAATTTTTGTCCTTTGGAAAATCCCATCCCAAACCCCCCGAGCTCCCTACACCAATCCCAGCTTTTCGGGGTGAGGAATTCCAGAAATTCCCAGAAATTCCCAGGAATTCCCGGAATTCCCGGCACTCACATCTTGCCGATGAAGACGCTCAGCACCATGGTCTCGTCGTTCAGCCCCAGCACCTCCGACAGCCTCCGGTACAGCTGCCCCAAAAAAACAAAAAATATGGAAAAAAAAGAATTCCAAAGTGCCAGGAAAAATGGGAATTCTCCCAAAAAATCGGATTTTCCATTGCCGGGAAAAAGGGATGTCGTGGGGTTTTTACATTGTGTCAAAATTCTGATTTTTTCATGATTTTTCTTCTTTTTTGTCTTAGCAGCATGGCTTGAGAATAAAAAAGGAGGATTTGGGAAAATTCCCTAAAATTCTCCAAAAAATTCCCTAAAAATTCCGTAAAATTCCCCAAAAATTCCCCAAAAATTCCCTAAAATTCCCCCCCAAAAAAAATTGGATTTTAACCGTGCTAAACCTCCAAACACAGCCAGGATTTTTCTGGAATTCTCCCTGGGAATTGTTTTGATCCCAATCCAATTTCTCCTCCATGGGGTTTAATTTCAGGAGAAATCCCAGAAAATGGGATTTATTTCCAGGAGAAATCCCAGAAAATTTGATTTAATTCTGGGAGAAATCACAGAAAATGGGATTTAATTTCAGGTCAAATGAGGAGAAATCATAGAAAGGGGATTTAATTTTAGGAGAAATCCCAGAAAATGGGATTTAACTCCAGATAAAATTAGAAGAAATCCCAGAAATGGGATTTAATTCCAAGAAGAATAACAGAAAATGGAATTTAATTCCAGAAGAAATCATAGAAAATGGGATTTAATTCTGGGAGAAATCCCAAAAAACGGGATTTTACTCCAGATCAAATGAGGAGAAATCAAAGAAATGAGATTTATTTCTAGGAGAAATCCCAGAAAATTTGATTTAATTCCAAGAAGAATCACAGAAAATGGGATTTAATTTTAGGAGAAACCACAGAAAATGGGATT